CTCAGCCCAGTAGGTTTCTACACTTGAGAAATGTGTTACACTACGACATTTGAGGGCCATGATGTCACTGGCAGATGGGATTCTTTCTCCTCTGCTTTCAGGATTGAGCCTGCGGGGCTGGCACAGAGCTCCATCTCCAGCCCTTTTTGATTTCTTCTTTTGGGACAGGCTCTCACTAAATCATTGTTAAGTTGCCCAGGCTAGGCTGGAATCTCTGACCCTCCTGCCTCAGCCTCTCAGAATGCTGGGGAGACAGGCGTTTCTACCATTTCCAGCTGGTGGCAGAAATTTTGAGCTCCACTGAAATCTCGTGAGATCACCGTCGCGTGTGCAGCCCGTCCTTGGCCAAAATGTCACTGTGCAGAGCTCCCTCACGCGCTGTGGATAATTCCTCGTCTAACCCTCACCTCACAGACAGGTCACCGGACCTGGGGAGGGCCGGCAGCAGCGCCCACGGCCCACTGTCCTCCCTGCTCTCATCTGCTGCTGACCTGGGGCCCTGGCGCCAGCCTCATCCTGTGCAGACCTCACCGCACCAGCTGCTCGCCGTGGTCCTGTGGGACTGGGAGGGGTGCGGCGCAGTTTTTGACTCAGGAGCCGAAGGCTTAACAATGTTGACTTGTTGCAGACCTGGCTGAGAAGCGACAGAGGCAGGATTAGAACTCAGATCTGTCAGATTCTGAAAAGGTGCTGTCCAGTGATGAGAATAGTGGCGGTGAAGGTGATGATACAGATTATCATTATTATTATAGACTGAGACTAAGACGCACTTTTATAGAATTAAATGTATTCCCTCCCAAATGCATATTTCGAAGTCCTACCCCCACCCCGTTTCGGAGAGAGAATTACTGGGGGTGGTTGAGCTAGAATGGTCCCGGTCGGTCTCAGTGCTGGAAGGAGAAGCAGAGCCTTGGGCGTGGCCGGCCCCCTCCCCCACCCCCTTCACTTCCGGTCTGTCTGCAGTCATTGGCTCCTTCTGTGGCAGGACAATTACTGACTTTTTAAACTGTTTAGAGGAGTAGTGTCAGTGTCTCTCATAGAAGGAGGAGGAGGAGAAGCCCGGAGTGGGGGCGCACGCCTGTCATCCCAGCACTCGGGAGGCTGAGGCAGGAGGATCGCTGTGAGTTCGAGACCAGCCTGGGCTGCATAGTGAGTTCCAGGTCAGTCTCAACTACATAGTGAGAGCCTGTCTCAACCCCGCCCCCTGCAAAAAAAAGAAGAAGAAGAGGAGGAAAAAGAGAAATAGAAGGTGAAGAAGAAAAAAGGAGAAGATTGGGGCCAGGATTTGGCTCAGTGGTTCCACCACCTGCCTTGCAAATTCAAGGTCCCGAGCTTCATCCCCTGTGCCAAGAAAAGAAAAGAAAAAGGAGAAGATGGAGGAGGAAGAGGAGGAGGAAGGGGCGGGGGAGGAGGAAGAGGAAGAACGGAGGAACGCGGGGTGGGGATTTAGCTCAGTGGTTCTGCCTCCTGCCTTGCAAGCTCAGGGATCCAAGTTCAATCCCCGGCAACAATAACAACAACAACAACAAAACAGAACGGAGGAACTGGAAGAGGAAGAGGAGGAGGAAAAGGAAGAAGAAAAGAAAAAGAAGTGGGGGAAAGAAAGAGGAGGAGGAGGACAGCACCACCACCGGGGAGAGGTGTGCACAGCGGAAAGGCAGTGTGAGGTGGCAGTGAGAGGCTCCAGGCGGAACCAGCCGGGCTGACACGGCGCCCTTATAAGCCGCCCACTGTGGCAAGCAGTACAACGACGGTGACAGGGGCAGCAGACGGATACGGTGGCCGAAAAGAACCCCCAACGCCACATACACTGGAGTTTATGGAGCACTTTTATACTTTTGTTCCATTTTGTTCTGTTTTGAGACAGGGTCTCACTGTGTAGCCCAGGCTGGCCTTGAACTCCCGGCGATCCTCCTGCCTCAGCCTCCTAAGTGCTGACCATGCCTGGTGTTACGGAACGATTTTTGGTGTGTTTGCTGTCACACTTTGGACGTGGACTGTCCCCAGATGCTCACGTGTTGGAAGATTTGGGACCAGTGAGAAGGGTACAAAGATGAAGATGGGCTCCTGAGCTGGTGGCGTTACTGGGAAGCAATGGAGACTTCGTAAGGGGCGCCCACTTGAAGGTCACAGAGGCATGAGCTGGAGGCTCTCTCTGTTCTACAGCCTCTTCCTCACTGGCTTTCCCCCTTTCTCTCTGCTTCCTGGGTGCCACAAGGTGAGCACATACGCCCCGCCACAGCCACCCTCCACGATGTCCTTGCCTTGCAACACCTAAGAGCAACGGAGCCAGCCCACCACGGACTGAAACCGCGGGCCCAAAGAAGCCACTTCTCCCCGTAGGAGTCAGCTTCTCTGTCCCTGGTACACAGTGCCCAATACCTGAAGCTGGAAGCAGGAGAGGTTTCACTCGGCTCGCGGTTTCCGGGGACTCAGTCTGTGGTCAGCTGGCTCCAAGAAACGTCATGGCGGAAGGGTGTGGACGGGCAAAGACGGTGCCCAGAAGACCAGGGACAGGACGGGGTGAAGGACCACATGGAGTCTCCTAGGCCGCACTCAGACACACCCAGAAGGTGCTGCTCTCGTCCACCACGTCCAGTCAAGTTGACCCAGCTAAGCTTTAACCCCACACTCCTTTAGGTTGTTATACTCGGTCATTTTATATCAGTAGTGGAGAGCCGGCTGACAGTTTTCCCTGTCGTGCCTCACACAGCTCTGTACCCTCCGTCTTATAGACGAGAAAGCCACATTCATGGACTCGGAACAAGGCGCGCTGGCCAGGGTCCTGCCAGTTTGACCCAGAAATTCAGTTTCCAGAAATGACCTCTTGGCTATGATGGGGGACAGATGGCTAATAAAGTATTTTCATTCAAAACTCTTAACCTCTCTGCTGTACAAAATGTTCTGAGGGGCTGGGGATTTTGCTCAAAGGTGCCACCACCTGCCTCGCAAGTGCAAGGACCTGAGTTCCATCCCTGGTACAAAAAAAAAAAAAAAAAAAAAGGGTGGGGCACACCTGTAAGCTCAGCACTTGGGAGGCCGAGGCAGGAGGATTACTATGAGTTTGAGACCAGCCTGGGCTACGTAGTGAGTTCAAGTTCAGCTTGAAGTACACAGCCAGACTCTGTCAAAAAAAAAAAAAAAAAAGGGTGGGGCACACCTGTAAGCTCAGCACTTGGGAGGCCGAGGCAGGAGGATTACTATGAGTTTGAGACCAGCCTGGGCTACGTAGTGAGTTCAAGTTCAGCTTGAAGTACACAGCCAGACTCTGTCAAAAAAAAAAAAAAAAAAGCCCCACGAGCCACTACGAAATGTCCCAGAGGTTGACCATGAGCTGACAACTGGGATTCTCATGTCCCTACGTGGTCCTATGCCAACCCCAGGTGCACTCTGGCAGCCTTGAGAGCGGACAGTTTACATGGAGCGTTCAGCTGCTCTCCCATTCCCAGACCTTGTTTCCACTGGTGAATTCATTTTTAAAATAAACCCTGTAATTATTTATGCAGAGAACAATTATGCAGCAGGACGTTGCCATCTGTGGAGGGGGATTTAAGACTCAACAAAGTCCTTAGTGACAGACACTCATGTGACTTTCAAATCATAGTTTAGTATTCTGTGCTCAAAACGTTGAGAGACCTGATTTCATTGTCAAAGTTCTGACTCATCCGCTGCAGTAAAAAGAGTTTGAAGCCAGATGTAGTGGCACATGGCTGTCATATCAGCACTCCGAGAGGCTGAGGCAGGAAGACTGCAAGCTGAAGCAATAAAAAAGGGCTGGGGGGCCGGGGACTTAGCTCCGTGGTTCCACCGCCTGCCTCGCAAGTGCAAGGTCCTTAGTTCGGTCCTCGGTCCCCACCCCCAAATAAAATAATAAAAATTTTAAAAAGAGCTGAGGATGTAGCTCAGTGTGAAAGCTCTGGGTTCCATCCAGTGGGAAAGTGGGGAAACTTCAACAATAGCTCACAAATTTAAAATAATTTCATTCTTAGGCATCACCCAAGACAAAATGAAAATATAGTTTCATAGTATGCAAAAGTTCACAGCAACTTTATTTCAATTAGCTAACACAAAGAATAACCATAAGTAATGGATACAGAAATTGTGACTAGTCCACATAATGCAATGCAGTTTAGCAATAAAAGGTAATACCAGCTTCAAACAGGGGGTGCACCTCTGTCATCCCAACTACTTGGGAAGATCTCGGTCTTAAAATAAAAAATAAAGCCGGGCGTGGTGGTGCACGCCTGTCATCGCAGCACTCGGGAGGCTGAGGCAGGAGGATCGCTGAGAGTTCGAGACCACCCTGGGCTACATAGTGAGACTGTCTCAAAAAACAAAGCAAAACAAAAAGGCTGGCAACGAACCTAGTACAAAGGCCCTAGGTACAATCAAAAGAGACAGACAGCTAATAATCACTACAGCAGAAATAAATGTTTGAGGTGTTCGAGAATGAATGAGAGCGATGAATGAGAAACATGAATGAGCGATGAAGATTGACGCTGATCACCTGTCCTCCTAGCTCCCCTAAGGTCCACGCCACAGTCGTGACGCGCGCCCTCTGCCGGTTAGCGGATCCCCCTAATTTCAAGCCTTAGCCAGACTCTCTCGGCGAATTTAGCTCGCTCTGCTTTCTGGGGAACGGAGTCTTCTGGGACCTTGTCTGCGCTTCCTGTCGGCTCCAGCTCAATGACAACAACAGGAAGTACGTCACCAAATTTCCCCGAGTCGCCCAAGTGAGAGCATGATGGCATGGCATGCCGGAAATGGTAGTCCATTAATAGCCGATTTCCCCGCAACCCGCTTCGATTGGAACAGCAATTCCCAGTATGCATCGTCCTCGCAGTTTGCTGGGATTGGGCCCGATACTTTCTGGGAAATGTAGTCTGCAGCCTCTACTGCTCCTTGTGCGTTCTATGGAATTGGAATACGTAGAGGACTCCATTTCCCGGCATGGCCACGTAAGCCCACGGACGCCAGGCCGCGACGGCCATTTTGTTCCGCCCCGGGTGCCCCTAAGATGGCGGCGAGGGAGACGGTGAAGGTTGTCGGCTGCTCTTCTGGTCCGTAACTGCCGTCTCCCTGTCCCCCCGCGGCCGGCCCATGGCCTGACGGCAGCCCACACCATGGACCTCCACACTGCCGTGTACAATGCCGCTCACGGCGGCAAGCTGCAGCTGCTCCAGAAGCTGCTCAGCGGCCGGAGCCGGGAGGAGCTCGACGAGCTGATGGGCGAAGTGGCCACCGGGGGGACGCCGCTGCTCATCGCCTCCCGCTGCGGCCACCTGGACGTGGTGGAGTTCCTGGTGGACCGGTGCGGCGCGAGCGTGGAGGCCGGCGGCTCTGTGCACTTCGATGGCGAGACCATCGAGGGCGCGCCGCCGCTGTGGGCCGCCTCGGCCGCCGGCCACCTGGACGTGGTGCGGAGCCTGCTGCGGCGCGGGGCCTCGGTGAACCGCACCACGCGCACCAACTCCACGCCCCTGCGCGCCGCCTGCTTCGACGGCCACCTCGAGGTGGTGCGCTACCTGGTGGGTGAGCACCAGGCCGACCTGGAGGTCGCCAACCGGCACGGCCACACCTGCCTCATGATCTCGTGCTACAAGGGCCACCGCGAAATCGCCCGCTACCTGCTGGAGCAGGGCGCACAGGTGAACCGGCGCAGCGCCAAGGGCAACACTGCCCTGCACGACTGCGCCGAGTCCGGCAGCCTGGAGATCCTGCAGCTGCTGCTGGGTTGCAACGCCCGCATGGAGCGTGACGGCTACGGCATGACCCCCCTGCTGGCGGCCAGCGTGACCGGCCACACCAACATCGTGGAATACCTCATCCAGGAGCAGCCCGGCCAGGAGCAGGCCCGGCCAGGGCTCGCCCAGGAAGGCGGCTCCACCAGCCAGGGCTCCCTACAAGGGGCTCGCAACTGCGACTCCTCGACAGAAGAGCAAGTCAACAGCGAATCCTATGAGAGCTGCTGCCCCACCAGCAGGGAGGCCGCTGTGGAAGCCTTGGAGTTGCTGGGAGCCACCTACGTGGATAAGAAGCGCGATCTTCTTGGGGCCCTCAAACACTGGAGACGGGCTATGGAGCTGCGGCACCAGGGGGGCGAGTATTGGCCCAAACCGGAGCCCCAGCAGCTGGTCCTGGCCTATGACTACTCGAGGGAGGTGAACACCGCGCAGGAGCTGGAAGCGCTGATCACAGACCCGGACGAGATGCGCATGCAGGCTCTGCTCATCCGAGAGCGCATCCTGGGCCCCTCGCACCCGGACACGTCCTATTACATTCGGTACCGCGGCGCGGTGTACGCCGACTCCGGCAACTTCGAGCGCTGCATCCGCCTGTGGAAATACGCCCTAGACATGCAGCAGACCAACCTGGAGCCGCTGAGCCCCATGACCGCCAGCAGCTTCCTGTCCTTTGCCGAACTCTTCTCCTATGTGCTGCAGGATCGGGCTGCCAAGGGCAGCCAGGGCATGCAGATCGGCTTCGCAGACCTCATGGGGGTGCTCAGCAAAGGGGTGCGGGAGGTTGAGCGAGCCCTGCAGATGCCCAAGGAGCCCGGGGACTCGGCCCAGTTCACCAAGGCGCTCGCCATCATCCTGCACCTTCTCTACCTGCTGGGCAAGGTGGAATGCAGCCCCAGCCAGGAGCACCTGAAGCACCAGACCGTCTACCGCCTGCTCAAGTGCGCGCCCCGCGGCCGCAATGGTTTCACGGCCCTGCACATGGCGGTGGACAAGGAGACCACGAACGTGGGCCGCTACCGCGTGGGCACCTTCCCCTCGCTGCACGTGGTCAGAGTGCTGCTGGACTGCGGGGCCGACCCGGACAGCAGGGACTTCGACAACAACACGCCGCTGCACATCGCAGCCCAGAACAACTGCCCGGCCATCATGAGCGCCCTGATCGAGGCCGGCGCCCACATGGACGCCACCAACGCCTTCAAGAAGACGGCCTACGAGCTGCTGGACGAGAAGCTGCTGGCTAGGAGCTCCGTGCAACCTTTCAACTATGTCACCCTGCAGTGCCTGGCCGCCCGCGCCCTGGACAGGAACAAGATCCCCTACAAGGGCTTTATCCCTGAGGAGCTGGAGGCTTTCATCGAGCTGCACTGACCTCCCTGCCCCGCCTAGACGGGAGGGGTGGGCGGATGGGCAGCAGGTGCCCATTCTCGCCTTGTGGAGTTGAGCGTGAGGTGGGAGAAGGGCTCCCCTGCCTCCCGGCTCCTCCACCCATGCCCGGGAAGCGGGTGAGCGAGCTGCCGGGGCCGGAAGGTGAGAAGTGTCACTGCGGGAGCCCACCCACCCGCGCGGCCTTGATGCCTGAACATGCCGCCTGCGTGCGGTTGCCTGGGTGTCGGAGGAGCTGTTCCCTTGTGCTAGAAACACAGGAAGAGGCCGAGAACTGGGGCCCGGGCGCCCAGCACACTCGGCCAGGCCTCCCCGAAGTCGGAGAGTCAAGAAAGCAAGGCCGCTCGGCTCGGTTCTCCCAGCACGGTCGCCCTGAGCGCCCCCGGCCCGGGCAGCCTGCACTCGCGTAGCTTGCGGCTGGTTTGGGTTTCCGTAGAAAGCAGGCGGCTTCCGAGCACTGCACACGCGACCGGCGATGTGGCTGGCTTCCGTAGTGACTTCGTGGGGATGTCAGGACTCGATGTTCCCCTCAAGGCCTCGGGCTTTCGTGTTGTGTCGGGGCCGACGGGCCTGTGACGGGCAGTGGCTTGGTGAGCGGCGTCAGCTCGCAGCCCCGGTCACAAGGACGGGCGTCTCCGTCTTTATGGGCCTCCCGACTGCATTCACCTGAAAGAACTTTTTCTCGCCAAGGATGAGGTCAGGTGCCAACGGAACAGCAACAGAACTTGACAGGTTCGCCACCCTGCGTCTGTCACTGCCTCGGAGGTCCCCGATGTGTCACGGTGGGCGCCTGGACAAGCGGCCCTTGCCGGGGCCTCACCTGCTCCGAGTGCCTGACCGGGAACAGCGCGCTCGGCTCACCGGCCGAGACTGCGGGCTCCAGGCCGTGAGTTGCATCCCCAGCTCCACAAAGCAGAAGCCAAGAGCCAGCTGAGGTCAGCTTCGCAGAGTCCCTCAGGGGAAGTGTGGGTGTCAGGCCACCCAGCAGGGCCTTTCCCAGAAGAGAGCAGCGGTCCCGGGGAGCAGCAAAGAGCAGGACGGAGGCGGCCGCCTCAGGTCAGCTTTGGACGGGCCTCGGGAGCCGCTGTGGGTGCCGGACACACTGCCCCGAGGGGAACTAGGTGTGGGTTTGCAGTGTTCGCTAAGAAATGATTTATTGGTATGACAAGCTTCAGCTTCGACTTCACTCGGGAGGGGGCGCCATTCCTGTCTCTTCCAGAGCACAGAGCCAAGCCAAGGGCTGCAGTTGTGTCTCTGCGCTGCGTTTATGGCATTAAAGGAAGGTATTGGAACAGAATCGCCTGGGGCTTCCTTGGGGCTGGAGTGAGGGTTGCTGTGCAGATAGGAAAGCCCAAGGTGAAATGGGGCGCAGCTCTGGGAGCCCTTACCTGACACGTGGGGGCCTGGGCATCATCCCCAGGTTGCCAAAATAGAGCCAGGTGTGGTGGCGTACGCCTGTCATCCTGGCACTTGAGAGGCTGAGGCAGGAGGATTGCCACAAGTTCAAGGCCAGCCTGGGCTATGTACTGAGTTCCAGGCCAGACTGAACTACATGGTGAGGCCCTGTCTCAAAAAAATAAATAAAATAGGACGGAAGATTTAGCTCAGCGGGACCACACCAGACTCACAAGTGCAAGGTCCTAAGTTCTATCCCTGGAACCAAAAAAATACAAAAATAAAATAGCACCCACCAAACTAGCACCGCGTAGTGGCGCACACCTGTAATCCCAGCACTTGGGAGGCCGAGGCAGAAGGATCACCTCGAGTTGGAGGCCTGCCCGAGCTATGTAGCGAAAAGACCCACCAAAGGAGTCCGCAGACGTGCCTCAGGGCGGGAGGGACTGCTCAACTCAGAGCCTGGCAGGGGAGGCCAGGGTGGGCCGACGGGGAGGGCACCTTGCAGGCTCTGCGGGTCCCTGAGCCCGAGACCTGGCTGCCCCTCCACACCAGCACCCACACCTGCCACAAGATGCTGGGTCCCCACGCAACCCGCACCGGGGCCTGGGGCTGTGCTGCCCAGAGAGCAGACAAGTTGCTGAGGCCAGCGATCACGCTCGCCACCAAGAGTCACGATCGGAAAGGCCACGCTCACTTCCCTGTCTCCTGGTTCCTCTGGGAGCCAGAACAGCTGCCAGCAGGTGACACCGGTGAGCCGTGGTGTGACCCTGCCGTCTGCTGTTGCAGGAGTGGACTTTCCCCTTAACTACTCTCAAAACGAGCATGGTGTGAGCCAATACTCGGGCCGAACCATCTCCCTGGCCCTGTTGGTTGGTTCATTGAGACAGGGTCTCACTATGTAGCCCAGGCTGGCCTCAAACTCGCAGCGATCCTCCTGCCTCAGCCTCCTGAGTGCTGGGATGACAGGCGTTTGCCACCCCACCCCACAGATGGCACAGCCTGGTCCTTTGCTGCCTGGTGATGCTGCTTGCGGCTCCTACTCTATCCTCTTGGCCTTATGGGCCTGAGTGTCACTGACCCTGGACCCCAGAGCAGGGCCAGGGGCGGAATCCACAGGCGGAGCGCTCTTTGGAAGCGCGGACTGCGGGGCTGAGAGGCCCCTGTGCTTCCGGATGGAGGCCTCGGCGCCCCGCCCCGATTGTCGGGTGAGCCCTGTTGCTGACAACCCGGTTCGTAGGCTCTCTTCAGACAGGGTGCTGCTGTGCGGCAGGCCTCCGGGCAGCCGGCAAGGTCGGGGACCAGTGTCCTTTGTCCCCATCTGGCAGGAGAAGACTGAGTCCGTTTTTCCGGGCAGGAACCTCCCACGGCTCTGATTGGATATGCCTGGTCACGTGTCTCCCCTGTGCCCCCCTCAGGCCGAGATTGGGCTGTGCTGATTGGCTTAGCTTGCCGCTGGGGGCGGGGCTGGGGTGGAGCCTTGGGTCCGCTAAATACTGTTAAATACAAGAGTAAACGTGCAGCGCACATGCTTACCCTCTATTACGGAGGCTGAGGCAGGAGGATCACAGTTTGAGACTAGTGTAGGCAACGTAGCGAGGCCTTGTCTCAAAATAGAAAGGGCTGAGATGTAGCTCAGTGTGAAAGCCTCATTTGGATCTGCAATCCAAAGACAAAACTTTACAGTAAAATTTGTCTCTGAGATTTATGAATGAAGAAAATCACGTCCAGAGAGGTCAAGTGGCCCGGCTGTGGCCACACGGCCAGGGTACTGACCAATTCACTGATAACTTGCAAACCCCTCTCAAGAAACGACAGCGGTTGGTTGTGGTGGGACATGCCTGTTGTCCCAGCACTCAGGAGGCTGAGTCAGGAGGATCACTGCCTTTGAAGCTTGCCTGGGCTATACAGTGAGACTGTCTCAAAACAAAGTAAAAATAAGCTGGGTGTGGTGGTGCCCACCTGTCATCCCAGCACTCGGGAGGCTGAGGCAGGAGGATCGCTGTGAGTTCGAGACCAGCCTGGGCTACATAGTGAGTTCCAGGTCGGTCACACTACATAGTGAGACCCTGTCTCAAAAAAACAAAACAGAAAAACAAAGTAAAATTAAAAGGGTTGGCCAAGTACCTCAGTTCAAAGGCCCTGGGTTCCATCCCCGGTGCCCAGGGAAAACAATATCGAGAGAGAGAGAGAGAGAGAGAGAGAGGGCTGCCTCGGGGAGGGAGGAACCACTGCCTGCCTGCTCAGGGGAGCTGCAGGGACACGGCTTGGCCAGGCAGTCCCCGCGGGTGCCAGGGCTGATACTCGAGTGCTGTTTACCAGGAGGGCATGTCCCAGCCGTGGGTTAAAGATAGCCTGGCTGTGAGTCACATCCCGGACGGGGACGGGGAGGTGACCGCCTGGGACAGCTGGCGCCTCAGCTCCACGCCCTGCGAGTGAGGCTGGTGGTCAGCAGAGGCCTGCAGGAGGCTGAGCAGGGAGATCAAGGCCCCTGGAGCCAGTGGTGACCAAGACAGGCGTCCCTTCCATGGCTTCATGTGTCTCCTGGCTGCAGAGGCTCCTGTCCCCTGAGCCTCACCCTGAAATCTTTCAAAGCCTGTTAGGCTACGACCTTGATGAAAGTGACCGGAAGTCACCGCCTCCAGGAGGCCTGTCCGTGTGTTGTGTCTTCCAGTTGTCTCGGTCTCCTCCACTCCGCCACCCGTGGCCCTTTTTATGTTGTCAAACAGGGTTTTCTGTAAGTCTCTGTGTAGCCCAGGCCAGGCGCCTCCTTGTGACCCTCCTGCTTTAGCCTCCCTGGGCTGGGATTTCAGGTGGGCACCTCATCTGGCTTAAAGCCTAGAGACAAGTATGAAATGACACGTAACAGGAAATAAATGCAGTGAACACTCACAAGTGTGCAGGTTGCTGGCAGAGACCCTCAGGAGGGACCGAGGCAACCACGGTTCGGAATCGGATACCAGGGAACATCTCGTGTCCCGGGGTGGGGACTTTGAAAGGACTGACAGGGCCGAGGCTGAGGACAGGGACTGAGGGCGGGCAGAGCCCCAGAAGGGGTCGGGACACAGGAGGCCACACCGTCTCAGGGAGGGAAACACCCTCGGCCCCTCTGGAAGCTGCAATGGTGGCCTCCTCCCAGGGCTATAACAAGGCCATGGGCACAAAACAGGTTAAAAATAAAAGACTGCTGCCCAGGGTGCTCGGGATGCCGTCTGCGAGACAGGCACACCCAGGGGGAGGCCCCATCGTGTCCTGAGAAGCGAAGGGGCCCTGCTGTGTGACCTCGTACAGCTGCCTGCCCTCTCTGGGGTCCCAGTCCACACCCAAAGAAGAGGGGTCCACTGACCAATGCACAAAACCTGGCACCTCCATCTTGGCTGTGACCTTGGGAGACTGCGCCAAACCCGTGACTCTGTTTCCCTTTCTGTAAAGTGGTGCAGAGTACCTCAGTGACCTGTGAATAGGGTCGTTTAGATGATTGGGATCAGCAGGGCCTGGCAGTGCACGCCTGGCGTCCCAGTCCTCAGGAGGCTGAGGCAGGAGGATCGTCAGCAGTTCAAGGCCAGCCTGAGCTACATAGTGGGACCCTGGCTCCAAAATGAAGATGATGATTTTAAAAATAAAAGGGCCAGGGCCGGGGATTTAGCTCAGTGGTTCCGCCGCCTGCCTTGCAATGTCAAGGTCTCGGGTTCCGATCACGGATGGCTGGGATAAAATCGTTGTCAGGCTGAGGCTGTAGCAGGGAAGGGGCTTTGCTGCAGCGTGGAACGGGAGCGTTTTCCTGGCCCTTGAAGCCGGGAGGGAATTCCAACCCCAAGAGAGAGCCACCGATCTGGCAAGGACGCAGCACAGGTTGGATCCACTGCCCTTGGCGCCCCCTGGTGGCGATATCCGTGCACTGCAGCTCTTTGCCGCCGGC